GGAAGGCAGCTAGTCATCACCACCCATCGCCAAGTCTTGAACTACTCTTTTCCCAACAAATAGTGGGATTGACCGTCAAATTATAACGCCCCCACGGCTGAAAGGGCGAGCATGTTTGGTGTGACGGGGATTCGAACCCGCGACCCGCATATTGCGAGTTGAGCGCCCTAACCACCTGGCCATGCCGGGCCACATATCACACATTACAACTAGTTTGCCTACGGCCGAATAAAGAGGACATATCACACATTACAACGAGTTTCCCTACGGTCGAATAAAGAGGACATATCACACATTACAACGAGTTTCCCTACGGTCGAATAAAGTGGACATATCACACATTACAACGAGTTTTCCTTCGGCTGAACAAAAAGCATATATCATTTATCAGCTCTTTACAAACAACAAAGATCCCACAGTTTTTCTATTTCCGTATTAAACTTTCTGTGGCTAATGGTTTACCATTTTGCTGCTACAGAACTTGGCCTCTGTCTTCTGTCACAGCCCTTTCTAAAACACGAGATTTAGGATCATTTGTGCCAGATTTAGGATCGTTTTGTTTCATTTGAAGCGTGTACTACAAACTTAGCCATAGAAAAGTGGAAAAAAGCTTATATTATTTACCTCCTTTTGCTATATATATTGAGAATCGGGAGCTCATATATAAAACTCTATGTATTTCGGATATTCACACGAAGTTACACAAGGGCTATGTGCGCTAACCCTCCGTATCTCTGAAATGATAAGCTAGAGGGCATACAGCTAGCCAACATTACCCATCGCTATCCCTTTGACTACTCTAATCATATAGCAGGATTTCACGATCACTCTTATAACGCAGTCATGGCCCAAAAGTGTAGTGAGTGATATTTTCGACCATATAACGCAAACCAGGGATCCTAGGATTCACAGCCCCACATTCTAACCACAGACCCACGCCCTAAAAATACTCTCATAAGTTTCAATAGTAACCTCTACCGATACAATATATGTGACCTATGCTTTCACGATGAGAAGAATTAATGATTTCTAGTAAGAAAACTTGGCCATATACATATATATATATATATATTCGATCACCAGTGAATAGTGGATTTTCATGTGGCGAGAGGGAAATAATACTAATAATATAATCTATCTAGTGGATAATCTGGCAAGGAAATCAATTAAAGGAATTTTGTCTAGTAAAAATTAAATCAAAGACTCGAAGGAACCCCTTTCTAAGTCTATTGATTTTGCTATTAAATATTTACTGACTGAAAAATGTGTTATTTTATTACCCTAGTTTGACTTAATTAGGTCCTGATTGATGATACATTTGGAGTATTTAAGCATCCGGAAAACATTAGGATTTACTAAGAATATTCTAGAACATTCTTAGTAAATCCTAATGTTCTAGAATGATAGCTGTGGCTTGAGGTTTCCATTCTCTGAATACGAACTGTCAGTAAGTTTTTCCACTGAAGAGTTATTCAAATTATTTGCCTTTCTTCTGATCAACATTTTCCGTTTTCCAGACAAAAGCAGATTGCTTTTTTCTGTTTTATTTTTTTATTTTTAAAGGTAAAAAAAACTAATGTAGAAAACTATGGTAATTTCAGAAGACGATCCTATGCCTCGTATGAAAGGTGTTTTATTTGCAAAAAAAATGCAGTCATTGTGACCACTATGGAACATTCATTGAAAGAAACTTATCAAGTAAAATAGGGAAAATATATTTTCAAAGTAAATAATACGAAGAAAATTAGAGGTGAAAAGAAAACGTCTCTTCAGCTTCTTTTGCTTCGAAAGCAAAATCTGTTACTCTTTTGGACCTTCAAGAATGTGATTCAGATGCTAATGAGCTCATTCACACTTCCCTTCACTAAAGCATTTTGTAAAGGTCATCTTGTGAACTTTGTCTTTTACTGTTCTTATTGAAATACTTCTGTTTACTGTTTGCGCTTAAACATTTACGTCTATGGACAAGTTTACATCGAAAAAAGTAACCGATTTCCTCAATATAGGGCAACTTTGACAAATAGTTTGAATTTTTATGCTGGTTTAGAGAACTTTTAGTCAAAAGAATACACAATAAAATAATCGAAAGTGAAAAATTAGTTCTACCGGATCTGATAATGTGAAAATTGATCGCCACATTTTAGAAATTTTTGGCTGGTTAAGTCGCGAATTTAGGGTTAAAAGTCAAATTAATTATTTTCTTAAATTTCTTAATACACAGTACCAACAAAGCATTTATTACATAAATAGAAAATTGTTTTCATCTCCCTTTTTGGACTCTTTCATCCAGTCTAATGAGGTTGTTTTTGATGTTGGTTATCTTCCAAAGACAGATACTGAATTATATGGTAATTATTTAAGTTTTGTTCTTTGATTCTCCAATGACTCATCTTTTGTTAAAAAATAATTTGTTAGCATCACACAAATGCTCCACCCCGCCAAAAAAAATTCATTTAAGGCTTGTCAACATGAATATTCAGAAGAAACTTGGTGAATTTTGAACAAGAAATAACAATGTTCCCTCGTGTCAATCAGCTTTTAAAGTAAAACTCTCTGTCATTGTTGATTTTTTAGCGTGTATATTTGTATTATGCCAATTGAGTATGTTAGCCATCCCTACATTAATTAAAGTTTACCGACTCTATTATACATTTTGTAAAGGAGCTCCAGGCAGTGTATAATTGCATATGTTATATTGTTTTGTTATATTTATATTTTTATATTGGATGCGGAATTTCGAAGTATCTAAATATTAGCGCAAACCGATTTGATTTACGATAAAGTATGGATAATTAATTGTTTTATATGTTAACTTATTTTTATACGTAATTTGCGTAATATGGTTTCTATTTTATCCGAAAACGTGTAATTATATAAAGAACTAATATCATAAACTGTGCACGATAGTCGCGAGCTTCG